AAATATAAAATAAAAAAAAAAACACTTTCAGTTTTAGTACATTTCAGTTTAGTACATAAGCGTACCCTGAGAGTCGGTATGGAGATGAAGATAATGATTGTTCAGTAGTACTACTCTACTACGGTGTAGATTAGCAGTCGGTTTTCTTTAGGCATCTTATAAAGCATTTGGACCTAGAAACAGCGATGTCAGGCTTCAAGTGGATTAAAAGCTATACTGCACACAAAGCACTTACTTCGATCATATCAGCCATGTGTTGTACATGCTGTGCCAGCTCCTGTAACTCCTCATTTTCACTCGTCAGCTGAGCAATCAGTTCATCTTTGGAGTCAATGTCTTTGTGCAACTAATTTTGAAGTGAAGTTAAGAAACAAGTGAACAAAAGGCACCACATTTCTAATCAAACGATTAAAGAACAGCGTTTTTACGACATTAAGAATCATAATTATAGAAATGAGCCTTTTATAAGCAGGAAAAAAAACAAAACAAAGGAAGACACACAACCTTTACTATAGCACAACTTGCTCATCAGCCCTATAGAGAGAAGTAGAGAAGAATGGCTAATCATTAGCAAATTACCCATTGATTAACCTACCTTTTCATTCTCTTGGAGAACACTGAACAGGGCTTTCCGCCTCTCTTCTGCCACCTCCTTCCAGTTCTCCAAACTGGACAGGGCATCATTTACCTCTGATCATGAGCTCATAGGCCTCTTGAGTGACCCCCTCAGGCTGGTTTTCATCCTCTGGACTTGTGGATTTTACAGCCACCTCTGCTTTGACCCTCTTGGAGCCCTTCGCCTGCTCAGCACTCCACATCTTTCTCTTTGGAACCGCTTTGCCATTCTAAACGGGGTGAGACCGTCTTTAACACTATCCATCCAACTAAAGAGTTGACGCTTTGTAACGTCCAAATTGGCAACCACCGCCACGTACCTCAATGATACGCCCAAGTTTCTTATTGACAGCAGACGGCTGAAGGACCTGCAGCGTCCTCCTCCCTGATCCAGATGTTGGTACTACAAGGAACTTCTGAGAAAAGAAAGGCAATCTCAGGGTCCTCAAGTATCAAGTGTCAAAAATATTGAGAATAGAGGCTCATTTCAGCGAGAACAAAAGCTAAGCAACTATCCAAACACACCGTAACAGGCTCCATTCACCTGCCTCAACAATCATTCTTCTCCTCTTACACCCAGTTAAGCTGTCAGTATGAGATGGCAACAAGCGAGGTATCTGAGCAACTCAGCATATCAACAGTTCTAACAAACGCTTGTTTGTGGGAAAGGGGCAGGCCTCACATCAGCTGCATGCTGTAAACACCTCCAATTCCCACGGACAGCAATTGGGCCGCTTGCATTATCTTACTGCAACATTCTTTAACCTGTAATTACTGTGGGAACTCGCCACAGAAGTCTCCTTGTGACCAACTGCAAGTTTGGAGTTGGTTAATGTTTTCGCTTAAAACAGTGACAGACGTTTGCACAGTTACTGGATTTCAACACATGGGCAATGATTAATTTAAAAACAAAGCAAGGTCTGAGTTGAGTTTGTCCTAAATGGGAAATTTGATCAAGTTAAAAGACATTGACGTCATTCTTTCCCTTTTTGAAAATACTCCAGCAGACAATTCAAGTAATCCAAATTTATGAATAATATCTAGGGGTCATTACATGGCCACTATAAAAACCACTAATGACTAGCTTTTAATGGGACATTAATCAGTTTATGGGAGTGTTGCCGGATTCTTCCAAAACCCCATTAATTTAATCACCCAACAGGACACTGGTTCAGCAATCATCTGTTTTGAGTAGTAATTGAATTAATTGCATCTACGAAGCCTAGGGCAAGACATTCTCACATACCTTGATGTTTTCAGAGGGATTCTCTGCATGCTTGGGTCTTCTGATGGAGCTCATGTTTTCACCTAGAAAAGAGTTCAGTAACTTCAGTGGGTTTCATTAGTTGAACGGTCACATTGGGTTCCAGTCACTTTGACTTGGAAATAATTTATTTTCATTCCCCTACACTTTTAGTCTTCCAGTCTACAAATAATTGCTTTTAAGATTCTCTTGATGAGAGAATCACCAAATTTTAGATTCAGCACAGGTTTTACAGCCCTCCTCTTGGAAACACAATTATCCTAAAGGTTTTCAACACGGCAAAAAGTTAACACATGTAGTTGACACACCCATTAGCCTAAAAATAGATTGTAATAGATATAAACTAATAGATTGACAAGACATTTTAAAATTGTTACAGCACGGTACACAGTAGCTGAAACTTCATACAGTCGATTACAAATTAAACGGTTAACGTTGTAACACTAATTGACATCCAAAAGGTTTTAAAACAATAAAAACAGAACTGTGGATTAATTCTCATAACTCATTCGCCACCTATATAACGTTCAAAGACAAATGTTATACTTGTATAACTAAAGGCTGATTTTTAAGTCACAAGCATAGATCAAAAGCGGTGTACGCTAGGCCTCTGTTTGTGTCCAGACCATCGAGCCACACTCGTACAGACTGTACATTTAAAAACACATTGCCATTCCTTAAAAATCAACAAAAAGACTCAACCACTCAACTAAACAAAAGCCAACATAAACCCAGCAAGTCAAAGATGATACTTACGAAAATTGCACGATAAACACAGACTCCTCTTAACAACCCGCTAAAGCACAACAGCTTGGGTGTGAAGAGCGCGCCAATGGCTTAAGTACTGCCTTTGTACCGTCACGTGACTCTGGATTTCGCGCGGATTGAGAGGCTGACATAAACAAACAGCCAACCAAGGGATATTTAATTTCACTATAAGAATATTAGAATTTCTGTCCACTTCACAAAATATTGTCCGTGTTTAAGGTGAGTACTACGCACAATTAAATTATGCGTAAATGATGTATATTTAGTATTATGTGTCATATAATGTTAATTATTTAATACAGTATAGTCGACAATAAAATTGTATTGAATTGATTGAGAAGTTGATTATGTCCGTATCTACACTCAACTTGTCTATCCTCCAAGTTTTGACAGTTTAAGTACCTTTTAATAATTTAATCCACGTTACAACCGACCCCACCTACTGTTTTTACTCGGGTAGTGGTGTAGCTTGTAACAAATAAGTAATCACTGATTTGTAACAGACAAAAATAGGAGTTTTCCACAATAATTATATTTTTCACAATATTTCTGAATAAATACATCAAAAACTCTTTGTGTTATAAATAAGGGAGCAGCATTATATAAAAGTTTGAGACATGTTGTGAAGAAAAGGAAAAACACTAGTCACAGACGTTTAAACAAAACCTATGGTCATGGTCACAACCATAGAGTCACTACACTAGCCTTCATAAACCCGGCTGACAGCAGCACGCGCTCCTCCTCTGTCGCGTGTGCACAGCTGCGTGACGCGCAGCGGCCATTTTGAGTTGTTTGTTCAGCGAGGAGCGCTTGTTATTTTCAAGACAAACGCAGATAAAAGGGCCGAACCAGTCGAAAGAAGCGCTCGAAAGACATTTCACCCTTTCCTTCCATCATTATGGGTCCACCGCGCTGCAGATGCCGCCGTCTGTTACCTGAGAGAACGGAGGACTTCGGTCGGTTTGTCAGTTTATCTTGACATGGCTTATACGGGTGTGTGACGACTGTGGAAAAGCTCGAAAACAAACGGGAGACCATCAAACTAAACCTCCGCCGAGGATCGATCCATGCGGGGCGGGTTTTTGCACTGAGCTTGGTGTATTAAGACGTGTTAGGATTGTTTTGCAGTACTTGCTCGGATCGCAACGGGCTTGGAAGTCAACTCGAGAAAAAAATGGCGAGAAACAATAGTTAACGTTAGCCAACCACGCATCGAAGCCAGTCTCTGCTAGCATCGCGATAACAAACAGAAAACAGGCAAAAAACAAAATGTAAAAGTCGGTTTATTGATGCATACTAGCTTTGAATGCTCTCGTAGATCTCATACTGGATAAAAAAAGAGATGTAGCTCCCTTCAACCAGGTTATTAGTCGGTGGCGCGTGTGTGTGTATTCAGCGTAGCTAGCATTAGTTTGCTAGCCAGCCACAAAATAAAAGCCTCACAATGAAACTCAACCGTGACAGGAGAGCTCGTGGGCCCATTTTATGCCCTTAAATCCCAAGATGTCCAGCAAACTCTGTGTTCTTACTCCGTGCCAAGATCTCATGGCATCTGCATTTCTCTGCCATGGTTGTCTTTCTCACCTGTCATTCAGATGTGCTTTTATGAGACCGTTTATTCAAAGACATGGATACAAGCAAGAGTCAATCCTGGAAGAGCCTTTCCAAAGTCAAATCTCTTGGTCAGCTTTTTAGATAACTTAAACCCAGATTTATTTATCTAAAGACAGGGATCTGTCCCCTCACACACACGGACGCAAACACAAAACTGTCGGTATGGGCTTTCAAACTTACTTGGCCCAAGTGCACTACCCACATTGATTAAAAATGACTTGATTTGGTTTTGCTAACTTTGTTCGTTAATTAAAATTAGTATGTACTGCAGGTAGTGCTTGGTTATAGCTTATTTAGTTTTTAAAAGGGTTTGTAAACCACATAGTCTACTGTCAAGCAAATAAAAAGAGAAAAAAAGTCTGCTTAAGGAAAATAGTACTGTCCGTAACAATGGGAGACCCAAATTCTCGCCGGAATCAAACAAGAAACCGACTCCGTGCCCAGCTACGGAAGAAACGAGAATCTTTGGCCGATCAGTTCGACTTCAAGATCTACATTGCCTTTGTATTTAAGGAAAAGGTACGTTGAATGATTCTGTATGAAGCTGAGAAATTATTGACTGTCTATTATTGTTCTCATATGTCTTTTCCCACTTTTACAGAAAAAGAAGTCTGCACTCTTCGAAGTAGCTGAGGTGGTACCTGTGATGACCAACAACTATGAGGAAAATATCCTTAAAGGCGTGAAGGATTCGAGCTACTCCTTAGAGAGTTCTTTAGAGCTTCTCCAGAAAGATGTGGTGCAGTTACACGCGCCTCGTTACCAGTCGATGCGTAGAGTAAGTGTTGGCACACAGCATGGTTGACTTTCGACATTGTCAGTTGAAGATTAAGCTGCTGTCAGCTGTTTTGCAACCATAATGGTCTGTCTTGTCTAAAAACCCATGTGTCATCATGTTGTTCGATGTCTTTGCTTTTTTGTCTCTCACTGATGTTTCTAAATCTGTACAGGATGTGATAGGTTGTACCCAGGAGATGGACTTTATCCTTTGGCCCCGCAATGATATTGAGAAGATTGTCTGTCTCCTGTTCTCCAGATGGAAAGGGGCTGAACATGAACCATTCAGGCCTGTTCAGGTATGTATATGCAATTTCTGCCAAAAAAAATTGTGGTGCTTGCTTATTATTCCTCGTATTTGAGGTTATGGGCTCGTTCAAACCCTTAACACCAAGTATTCAACATGCACAATAGGCATGAATGATGCATAGAAATCCATTCACAAATTTAATATAGTTACATTTGCTTTTGAACATTTACAGGCCAAGTTCGAGTTTCATCATGGAGACTATGAAAAGCAGATTTTGCATGCTGTTGGTCGGAAGGACAAGGCTGGGATGGTTATGAACAACCCCAATCAGTCTGTCTTTCTCTTTGTGGACAGACAGCACTTACAGGTTGGTTCAATAAAACATTAAATATGAAGGTCCATGGATAATATTTAAGAATGTCATGAGGATTATCAACTTTTTTGTATTAAAGGGGTCATATGATGCGATTTCAATTTTTCCTTTCTCTTTGAAGTGTTACAAGCTCAAAATCGCGATTTGAGCTTGCACGATTTCTAAATCGCTTTATAGCACGATTTTCCGCACCCCGACCTATGCTATCCGAACCAATCAGAATGCAGCGCGCCTAAATGGAACACGAGAACAGAACAGACCGGGCGGGCATACAAACGTAACGCCAGGTTCACACACGCCATCTGTGGTGCGTATTTTTTCCGCGCCCATGTTAATGGATCAGAGCGTACACACTGCACGCGATTGCGGTCCGCCAGTGCGCTCCAGGAGCGGTGTGTCTGCAGCAGTCATGCTGCGATAGTTTCCGCACGGAATCTATTTCTGCTGTGCTGCACGCGCGAAATGTTGTGTTTGTGGTAAACAACCGCTAGGGATGTAACGATTAACCGCGAGCCGGTTAAAAATCGATTCAAATATGTGACGATTCAAATCGGTTGAGATGCTAAACAAATCGCGATACAATTGGAGTAGGAGTTTATATGAATGTATCTCTGAGGGGAACTGACTATCTTTAGAAAAGTTTACGTGGCATTTTCTTTTCATCTTGCCTCTGAACAATGCATATTGGAGCTGATCCGTGCTGGTCGCTGAGGAAATGCATCAACTTCGCGCTGTGGATCGCCGGATCGGCTTTCATCATGGACGAAGCGGAGTCGAATTGTTGAAACAACAATTGACAACCAACCATGTCAATATAAAAAAATTTTCATTTCAATATCAGATAAATTTAAGATTATTCCTGGTGAAACATATGTAAAACATTCTTTTGTCTATTAATAAACACTAAAAACTACAAAGTAAAACTGTGCGATGCACAAAGTAACGGGGTGTTAGTTGTAACACACGTGGTTTGAATATTTATTTTACCATAGTAACATTTA